TATTTGGTCCAAAAGCCTCTTGTTACTTGGTTATTTTCAGGGATACAAGAAACTCACACAACAATCTTGTATGCAATTCAGTCTCACTTCTTTTCCTTTAAAATAGGTTTTGAACTGATTTTCTCCTACTTTTGCATACAAAAGTAGCCATGATATTGCATTATATCTATTCATAACATTACTTGAAAGCTGTCTCTTTACATGTCAACTYGCATCCTGTATGATTATGGTCCTATTCTCAAACATTATTACTTGCAGCACAAGAGCAGGCACATGACTGTAAAGTGACCTTCATCTGTTCCCAAATTATGTCTTTTAAAGGCCTTGAGTCTGTTTAAGGAGAGTTGCTGAAACTTGAAACGAACTAGGTCTACTGCTGCATAAAGCAGGTGAATGTAAAACTTAAGTATTGTATTTCAAGCTCTTAGTGTACTAAATATAACAAAATTAGGATAAAGGAGAACATAACTGGACTGTGACTGATTTTAGAGGACATACTTGGCAGTATTTGGTATGTTTCTACTMCTGATGAAAAATCACTATAAATCAGTAAATGGAAAATGTCTTCCTGATCTGTTCTTATTTTTAATAGCAGTGATCTTTACAAAAACGAACAAACTAATACATGCAACAACTAAGATCTTTACTTAGTTTTTAGGCCCAAAGATAAGCATCTTGAAACATATTGCATTTAATTTAAAAAAGAAACATATTGCATTTAAGTGTTCATTTCTTGCACTCCAGTTCATTTTTGCAACCATGTTTCATAATAAACAATTCAATCAGTTACTTTGCTGCAGAAGTCTCTTTTGCTATATGTCACTACCCAAACCAGCACACGCAGAATTACATAACACTTTGGAGCAACGCCTCAAAAAACCTCTTAAATAATTACAATAAAAAAGGAATAATAAAAGACTATTACTTTTCTTCTTTCATTTTTTAGCAGTCTTCAGTGTTATTTCTAAAGATGTAATAAAGGAGTTCTGATAGTGCTCATCTGTATGCTCTTCAAAGCAACATTAACTTGAATGCAGGACTAGCAAGAGGAAATGTGTTATTTTCACATAGATAAGTGGCCTGCAAATTTCTGGAAAAGTTGGTAAGTTTTGGCAATTGTCAGATGGGAAATGTAACACTGATTAGAAGAATTTAATCTACTGATAAAGTAGAAATACTCAGTCTGGACTTCCAGAAATATGATCCAGACTCCTGTTCAAGGCAKGACAAACACAGAAGTTTTATCTGGTTTCTCAGGAACTTCTCCAGTCAAGTAATGACCGTCTTCAAGGAYGATGTTCCTCAGCCTCCCTGGATTACCTGCTTCAGGGCTTAACTGCTCTCYGTGGGTATGTGCTCTTGTGTTAGGCAGCCAATCTTTCCACTGCAATGTGAACCCAAATACAGTAGGAAATCCTGCCTTTTCTGTACTGATACTCAGCTSATTTTTGGCCACATAGGTTTTGTGGATCTGCCACAGTGAGAGTTTATTGTGTCAGCTGGTAACAATTTTGCACATGCCCCTCTAAACACATGCACATGCCCACGCCAACACCATCACCACCGCCACTGACATGGAGGGACTGAGAATAAGTAATTATTTGTTTAGCATAAATTACAAACCAAACAAAACAGAAGGGATTCCAGGACTGATATCCTAGTTCTGAATACTCTTGAGTTTAAGAAAGCTCAGGACCTGCACACTGCAGTTCACTTTGCCTAAGTCTGCATTTCCTCAAGCCAATGCCAATAACTAAGAAAAGAAACTCTCATATAAGCTGCACTACTTCACCTTGTGTCAACGTTATGTCAGCTTCATTTGGTAAAGTCCTTTTGTATTGTGTCCTACTGCAAGATACTGTCAGATTTTAAAAAGAAGTGACTCACACCTAAGGTGACTATTGTAGTTTCTATGTTTTTGTCTTTATGTTATCTAAACAGTAGAAAAGCATAAATTTATACAAAAGTAACCTGATCTCTCCTCCTAGTGTTTTCGTCTATCACATTTATATTCTCATACCAATTTACTGAGTTTTGGCTTATTCTGACTTCATTTGAAATGGGAAGAAACACAGATGTCCCAAAGGAACTGAATATACAACTTCACTGCAACATAATAACGAAATCAGCCTCAAGCACATGCTTACTTGTGCCACTGAAAGAGAGTGCCAGATGAAGACAGGCAACAGGCTCAGTGTCTGTATAATAACTTGCACAGTGACACTTTTGTGTTAAGTATCATTAAACTCATCATACATACAAACCATATGTAAATATAACACACACACACACACACACACACACACACATATATATATGTACTTTACAGACCTGGTATCATGTGCATGTTCAATTTAAGTAAATAATCTCAGTTTAAAAAATTCTGGCATTTCAAGGCACTACAGCATTTTGAGAAGTAAAATAAATTTTGAATACTTCCAAGAAAACTGTTTTACTTATGCAACATACCTACAAAGTCCTTAAAGCTATAGGTATTTCCCAACTTTATGGACCAGGACGTGCATACAAGAAGCCCCTACTGAGTATTACTCTGTCCTCTGTGAGTCCTCTAATTATGATGTCTTCTTACTCTTGGCTTTAATAATAGGGTTTATAATACTATATGAATGTATTATAACATAATTGCTTTAATATCTTCCCATCTTTTAAACATTACAGCTCTGAAAAAAAAGGGGGAAAACTACACGCCACTGCACAAAATTATSTTTTTAGTTTAAGGAATTCATGCAAGATTTACTTAATAATACTGAAAAAGGAATTATTTCCMATATAATATTTGTGCATGTGTTTATTTAATGTTCCAGAACAAGTGTGAACAGTTTTCCCAGTATTAATAGTGAAGCCTTTTTTTTTTTTTTTTTAATAAAACACAGTAACCATATCAGAAATACAAAATTTAGACCAGAATGAAACACAGAAAGCACCAGATAATTGCACAAGAAAAGCTTAACCATGTAATCAGCCTCACAACAGTCCTATGAACATAAAAATGTTGGACTTTAATGCATTATAAAGGATCTTGAACCTAGGATYATATAAAGGATCTTGAACCATATAGACTAGTCTTTATGGTAATAATTGACTTCACATTCAAAGACAGAATTTATTCAAAAATATGGATTTTCTATACAGAAAACTCATGTTATTTCTTCAGTTTCACAATTTACACTGAAAGATGTTACACATTCTACAGTTCAACAGTAATCACTAGTACGTTAGGATGGCAGCTGTTGTACATCTGAAGCTAACAAATGTTATGTGACCAGGGATGACTGGCATGACATGTGGCTGTAGCCTTTTCATACAGTTATGTTCTCAAATATTTTAAAAATGTCCACCAACGTCCTTCTGAAATACTGTTCCCAAGAACTTCATGGAAAAAGTATCCTTTAATATTTACCCCGCTCAGCTGCACATACTAACAATGATAAACTAAAGTTGAAGAAAAAAATATAATAATTTATCCTTTAGGAAGTCATGTTCTTCTTATTGTGACTTGAAGCTAGATTCACTTGCTTGAAAACAGAGGGCATGTGTTACATTTCCAACAATCAATTATCATCCCAGCCTTTTTATCTCTGACCATAAATCTAGCACATGCCCATCTGGATAGAAAAATTGCAAACACAAAACTGTCTTCAAGGCAAATTCCAAAATCAAGTGTGAATTTCTGTATTAAAATATCTCTCCTTTTTTTTTCGGTCCTTATTCTCAAATATTACAAGCATTTTAATCAATCTAATATTTGCCTAGTCTTCCTGGAACTTTACCCTCATAATTTTCATATTGATARAAACTGTTGCCACCACTGTATGTGAATCTCAGGCCTGCACCTAAGAATATTCACTGTAAGGATTTAAACGATTCTAACAGAGAAAAAATTCCAAAGTGCAATTGATATCACCAACTTATTTCACACTCAAGAAGAATAGATATCCAGAGATGACTCTGCTTATGAGTCATAATTCTTTTGCTATTGGTACTTTGCTTCATTTTTTTCTGTATTTGTTAKAAAATCTTTTTCTAGGAAAAAGTTGTTACCTTTGCTTTTATCTTTATTTTTTAGTTAACTACATTTTCAGTGAGTAGATTAAATCTTAATACATTCAAAACAGACAAATACTTTTGCATTCAACAGAGCTGAGACTAGGTCTGCTTTATATATTCCCTGTTTGCTATTATTTTGTATCAGCTGATCTTTGTAGTCCAGACTCTCTTTTTCTTCCTTGACAAGATATATACAACTTGAAAGACAGAATAACATCACTGACCATCTGTTTCTTCCAATGTGCTTACAAGAAGGTTTTAGTGTGCAGAAGAAATGGTAGAAAGGTACTCACGCGTTCTCAAAGTTACTTGAATCATTGTTTAGCAGTGATTGGGGGGGGGGGGGGCGGAGAAAAAGTTAGTGTAGTTTGCTGAACTTGTTCAAACCTAAAACAGAGGTTACCTTATTCCAAATAATTGCATRTGACAAAATCAAACAGGATGGCCAAAAGTTTAGATTACTTTTTAGCAACCTTTATATTAGGACCTTTACATTTACATATGTACATATGTACATARAACTGTACATTTACAGGTGAGGAAAGCATGGTAACAGGCCATGTAATGTCACAAAAAGCAGAGTTAAGTCTCAGTATGTGAGGCACACTTCCTCCAGCTAGAGAAGAAAATTTCTTACAATCCCAAYATCTTTTATATAACCATAAAATGTGCAATACATTTAAAATAATGCTAAAATTCTAAATCTCAAAGGCACTCAAAGAAGACAAAAATATTGAAAGTAGATACTAAAATTTCTGCTAATTCTATCTAGATAGTTGAGTTATATTTGGAAGAGTCACACAAGAAGTGACACTTCAACAATAACTTGGAGGACAAAGAAGAGTCTCAGCATAGTAGGATTTGTAGCAAAGATAATATGGAGTAAAATACAATGGAAAGGCAAAGAGAATTAATGTGATTCCACCTGTTACCTGTCATGTGTCCTCATAAAGTCCCAGGCCTTCTTAGAGCCATTCTGAGAAAAGAAGAAAAAATGTATTGATGAAATGAATTCCAAGTGAAAACAGACTGAAATGAAATTAAACAACATTTTAACAAGAATTTCTTGCAAAACTTGATGCAGGTAGTTTTATTTATGAAAACATTTTCCTTTATTTTGATGATATGTATTATAGAAGTTGAGAACTGCCATGAGGAGATCCTGTTGTGGATCAAGAGATTTGATCCACAATATCACACTGACAGTTAAAGCGAGTCTTGCTTTTTGCAAGGCAAAGCAAGACTTTGGACCCAATCCTGGCCATAGCAATGGCTACAAAAACTGCATCTAATTACTCATGTGCTAGGAAGCTATGTTTTCACCAGTAAAATAATCTATGGATGTCATTTCTTTCATGTTGTCTGTCCCGTAATGTTGTTATAGCTGGACAGAACAGCTCAGCATTTACCTCTYACCCAAACCCATTTGGGATGTAGGAAAATGACATCTTTCCCTCTAATTCCCTAACAGACCCAAATTACAGTTTTGTCCATGGTCCATGTCTAACACAAAGTGACAGCATTCCATTCATACCCAACTGCTTATATTCAACCTTGCTTGTCGTCGTGGTGTCTGTTTTTTAGCAGTAGGCTTAATTTACAGTGCTTACCCAAGAACTGGGAGACAATAAATGAACGATTTTCTCAAGACTGACAGGGTTCAAGTCTATCTTGTAGATGTACTTCTTGATTTGGATTTCGGTTTGCACCATCGTGACACATATTGGCAACTTCCCTCCACCTCCAGGAAATAATGTCATGTTGGTTTTGAACTATCAGAAACCAGATAGGCATAAAACTTCTGAACAAGTTTGCAACAGATTTATGTCTCTGTTTGGACATCTCATAAACAGTAATTCTCAGTAGCTGCTGTGCTACTATTCACGCTACTACTTGTAAGTCATCTTGGACCAATTTCCTCTGCTATCTTAAATAGAATTAAATTTACTGTAGCAAAGCTGAAACTAACCCATGAAAATAAATGTCTTTTTTTCCATTAAACAGTTTTCTAGTCATATATGTGAATACATACACAGCAGCTAACAGAGACAGATATATGATGTTGTACCACACTTCTTAGAATTACAACAGTATTTTTCAGTGGAAATATGACTCAGAGGCCTCTCTCCAAGGTCATTTTAAAATCTGTATAAGAAATCAGCATTTGACTAACAGAAATTCTTTTGGTTGCTATTTCCTTTTCCTTGCTGATAAAAGAGACTTGCTGAAAATCTAGATATCTAAAAATATATCTCAAATGAAGAGCAGTAGAAGCTACCTATTATAAAGTATCCTTAAATGGACGATCAAGCCCTGAGCAACTGGTTAATGATTTAAAGCAGGTAAATGTGAGCAATGAAAGAAGAATCAAGCTCAGTTGGTGGGTAAAGGTGCCAACCAATATAGACAGGCCCTTCAGCTCTATTACAGATGTCATGGCTACCAAGTACACAACAGCTGGTGGGGATTAGATAACAAGCACTCCGGTTCAGAGATTAAGCTCCTGAGCTTTATGAGTTTACCAAGCTTTTTGGAAGAGTAACTGTTTGCTTGCTAGCAGGGTTTTCCTTCATTCCCACAGCTCTAATTATAAACAGTTGTTCACCTCAAGAGAAACTCTAGTCTACTCTTCYATCAGTGCCTGCACATAACTTCTGTTAGCACTGACAGGAATCGCACGCATGCATCAGAAGGAGAAGCCATGTCATTGTTTAAAGGAAACATTATGTTGAAAGAGAAATAAAGACAGCAAATTCTCAGTAAGAACTGAAATAGTAAAGCCCTTATTCATCAAGATGCGCGTATATCCAATCTGTTTGGATTCTCATCACCTGATGAGCGGTATAGCTTTGAAGTTAATAGCATAGACCAATGATGTGTAGCAAGATTAATTTAAGAAATTAATTRTATAAGGTCCTCTTAATCCTTTTGTAGGGTTATTTCTGCCTAAAACGCTTTTATTGGTGGGATTTTCTCTTGTTCGCAGATCACTGYGCAATTTGTCTTTTGTCGTGTGCAGTCTGGGAAACTGTGGGCTTTTGCACCTACCACCACATTAGTTCTCCAGCTTCAACCTTCTCCTTCCCCAAATGCAAAGATATGCTCCCATCCTTTCCACATTTGCAATGACAGTATGGGAGAAATGTGTCTAGCTGATGAAGACGACAAACAAAAATAAGTCTGAATCAGTGCTATTTCAGGATTAATTTAGGCAATTAATTGCTGTGATGCTACTTCCTATGCTATGAACCTGGCAGTAATCCTCCTGGCCCTTTCTTCCTGACACAATTCTGCAAATTATAGAACCTGATTGCCATAAGGCACTTAGGAAAGAGTTTCAAATAGCCAAGGAAAATTATACCCTGGAGAACAAACCTCATCCAGATGGGATCCATCCGATCTGTATGCCCTCTTCTCATGGATGAACCCCATTGCTATTAAAAGAATCTACCTTACAGATATATACATAATCTTTAACAGAAAACAAATAAAAAATAATTTAAGCAGAAAACAATTATCTATTTTCTAAGTGGTTGAAGAGCACATAAAGCATTTTGTCTAGAACATAGGTTTGTTTTTGATTAGTTTAAGACCCCAATTCAAAACCAGCTACAGGCTAAATTAACTTGATTCTATCCATTCAAGATGCTGGTTATCATCAGATGCTGTCTGGAGAACGTTGTTAAGCTTTTTCTGGTCTTATTTGAAAAAAAAAATCCATTATAAAATATGATCAACTTGCACCTGTCCAAATAAATAAATCAATAAACAAATGAAACATTCCAACATCTCATTGTTTACAGTGGCAGAAACTCAAATGAGCACCATTCATGCCCTATTGTCCAAGTCAAATGTAATTTGAATCCAACTGTATGGAGTTGAGTTTCTATTGTACCCAATATGTRGTTCTTTCCTAACAGACTAGTATGAGGGTTGCTAATTATTAATAGCATGTAAACAGTTACCAATGGTTTTTATGCTGCTTTACATACTTCACAGAACATTAATTCTAGCCAGTTTCCCACCAACTATGGCAAGCGGTATGTAATATCTCTATCTTATATTTCCTATAGACGGAAAAAGGTATTTGCAGAAACTGATCAAGATTCATGCTTTTAAAAGCCAAACAGCCGTAATTATTTGTTACACCCAACTATYCCATTCCACAAACCCTGGCATTTGCTTTGACAAAGTTCTGCTCTCATCACAACYACAGACAGTCGCGAAGAAATAAAGGTAGCAACGATCAAGGTTGCTCCTCAAAGCCAGAAGCACTTTTGTGACACACAAAAAATCTCAAATCCTAAATCTTTCATTTTAATAAATATATATTTGCATATTTATAAAATAGTCCATTTTCCAATGTACAAGGAATGATCAAAGTATCTTTCAAGGAAGTGGGAGAAGTAACTGTAATAGATCACTGTGAAACCAACACCCATGATGGCAAGAAGAAAGGACTATATTATTACATTTTAAACAGATTTAAACAAATTATCCTTCAATTAGGAAATGTTCCCTGTGATGTTTTACAAAGATTAATATATCAACAGTGCTTTATATTAGTTTTTATCTGTTTCGAATGGCAGTTCTGGTACTCCGATAACATTGAGTATCATGAATTTGATTTAGTAAATCTTTAATCAAAAATAATCACACTCYGGTTCTGTGCTCCGTGACCAGGTACTGTCATGCTGCAATACTGAACTAGTGCATGTAGTATGTGTCAATTAATAAAGCCGTATTCCAGGAGAGGCAGCTTGCAAGACAAGTTGGTTTCATATTACACAGGAGAAAGATTACTTGCATAAGCACAAATTGCATAATAAAGCCATATCAGGTCAGATGAAATGTCCATCCTGCCCAGTATCAYATTTCTAATAGTGGATGCCTACAGAAAAAAGAAGAATAGAGGAAGCATACAGCAATGCTTCTCCAGAATCTCTTCAGGCTTTGAGAAAAGGCAGTTGAAAGACATCAAAAGACATGCAGCATTTAAATTAAAGCCCCCCCCCCCTTTTTTTTTTCTCCCCCTGGAAAAGCAAACATAAATGATCAAAACTACCTGAATGTGTCACATTAGAGCATCACAAATCCTGCTCATCTTGGCTACAGGTCTGACTTGACAGTGGCATTGACAACGTTGTCAGAATTACAGCAGTACAGTTTGATTCACAGTCACACGAGAACTTGATCCCTTTCAGTGTAAGTGGTTGCAGAGCTGCCATCTGCTGCAACACCAGAGTTCGACCACGGATGTGACTTGAGCAGTCGAGATTCCTACAAGCAGAGAGCTCTTCATAATACTGTCCATATCTGACCATCAGATATGTCTCTCTGCATCCTTGCAACTATTTTCTAATACTCTCCCTGCACCTGCACATTGCCACAAACCTTTCCTGGACCTTGTTTCATGCCATCAATTACAGGTAACTGAGCTGTTCTGAAGCCTCCAAACAGAATCCTTGCCAGTTCTTGATCCAAACCACCCCTGTCCCCTGCTAAAATGGTTGACGACTCACTCCACTTGGAATATAGCCATACTCCAATTTCCTCCACCTGCTCAGGCAATACAGCATCTAAACAGCATTGCCAAACAACTGTCAGAATAAATATGCAAAGACTAACCACTTTCAGTAGGTCCATTTCAGAGCTGGCAGCCAGCATCTACAGATTACTCCCAGATGGCCRTCCTTACTGGAGAAAGTCAAGAGGATTTAGCCTAGTCTAGAGAATAAAGAAGGTAGAGGGTGAGCTATACTAATAAAGTGAATGTTTTGTGAAACACCAATAAACAAGCCATGACTACATGGCCTCAAGACTTATGTTAATCTCCATGACTGTCTCCTTGTCTGGGTATTTCCTCCTTCCCCATCAGCACACAGTAACCCATGTACCTGTGTTAATACAGGTTAGCAAAGCACCAGGTYGCATGTCAGCACTGCGTCCCATTCCTGCCTGCCCAGGCACTGCTTCGGAGCTTCATCCCACCTCACTGTCCTGGTGTTCCTCGTCAGGCCAGGCATCCTCTTCACCAGAGCAGGAAACCTTGAGTCATCCACCAGCTCTCCAATCCTACGGTGACACTGGCCATGCTTCATGTGAGAAATCAGGGATATGTCCTAAAACAAGCCACAGGGAAGCTCTAAAATAGGTCACAGGGAAGCTCTCCTCTACTCCTCACCAGGGCCAACTTGAGTGGTTTCCTCCTCCTCTTCCCTGAGGGCAGCACCAGTAGCTCTTGAACCAGTTTATATTTGAGGTAAGGAAGCATTTTTAAGGGATTTTTTTGTACCTGTTACACTGATGTGTTTCTATTTACTCTTAAGCGTACATGTGGTAATTTTCAAACAACTGTTAAAASAAGGGTGTCTAAAATAAATCCTCAATAGGCAGCTTTACAGTGACAGATTTCTTGCAGTTATTCTATTTGGAAGTTCAGACCATTCAAACAAAYCAGAAGTTGTATCAGAACTGCACCAATTTCAACGACAGCCAAGCTTGTTTTAATGATCGCTGGTCAGACAACACGTGACTGAAACAGAAAATGTACTTACCCAACTCTGCTTTAAGCTTTTCTTATTTCATTTACTCTTATGGAAAAGTACTGAATTGAAGGCACTGGCTAATTATATCTCCCATGTTTATCCTCAGAAAACTGCTGCTTGGACAGGCAATAGCAAAGCTTCCAAGTCCTGCAGTATCACTGCAAAAGGGTTCATAGTTTTCTGTAGATTTTTGATGAGACTTAATAAGAGGGTAAGCAGGCAGATCACTTAGGATGTTGGAGGTCTCCTAAAYGCATACATACGCCCAAAATAAGCAAATCAACCTCACAAATGTCATTAATAAAGAAAAAATATTTCCATGACAATGATTAACTTCTTATTGTTTACATTACTGGAGAGACAACAAGATGACTGGTGACCTATTGTGACAGGCACTAAACACATATAGTGGGCACAGCGAGTTCACAATTCCATCAGAACGCAGACAAAAGTTGGTGTAAACAAACAAGAGGCAGTTAAGGAAGAAAGGCAAATACATTATGGTATAGATAAGCTACATGCACAAGTTGTGACGTTTAAAATGACACACCAGTAATGATCCTCTAGCCCATACCAGTTGGACTGGATGTAAAGCAGTCATCCAAGAAATAAATGTCCCATGTTTGTGGAAAAAAAAAATCCCATGGTTGATATAATTACAAAACAAAAACAACTTTGTCCTCTCTGCTCTGGCTATTCTGTTTCCACAGTACTAAGACACAAAGGCAATTAATGTGCTTAATGCAAAGGGATTATGACCATTCACTGTGCAATAAAATAGTAACACTACAGGTAAAGAAAAACAGATAAGAGAATTAATTGGCAAATAATGGTTTTAACCGAGTCTGCAGTGCCAAGCCAGTGTGCAGTCCCTGTTTAATCATTTACATGTAACAAAGCAGGATAAGTCCCTAGAGGGATAATCATACTCTGCTTTCTTCTGTTCTCAATTATTTTTTAAGCTATGAGTGTAATTTTTTTCTTTAAAAACAAGTGTTAAACTTGTTTTTCTATTGCAGGCATTTCCCAATTCAACCCACCTTCTATAAACTTATCTATACTGTTTAATATTACTGTGCCCAGCATCACCTCTTGCTGAAGTACTTGTTGCCCAGACGTGCGTGGCAAGGAAACAGCAACTCAGCATTTTWGTAGATTGGTTTGGCCAGGAAAAATCAACATGAGCAGTGCAACTGGGGAGCCCAAATAACAGACTCGCAAAGCTAGGCAAAGATCTGCACCAACTGAGTCAGTTCTGCAGCTTCCAGTCATCCTTATTTTCTTATATTGGCTTTAATGGTTTTSTCACTTTTTATGATGAAAAGAAGCTGCCAATTAAATAATGCATAAAAGCACCCAAAAGCAACTTTTTTTTTTTTTTTTAAATAACAAATGGTCCTGTAATGGGAAAATATGTCCCCGACATGCATTATATGATGTGCATTAGCTGCTGCTTCTCTTTCAGTCACAGATATTGGCTTAAACAGAGCAGACTTCCCCTGTAATAAACCTAGCAAGGCTGCAGGTACTGGACACTACAAGCTAAGCCTCACCCCTCTGTAAATGAATTCTTCCTCCCTCTACAGCAGTGTTCCTATGGCTGAAATTTTCTTCTTACATTTCTTTTTTTCAGCATAATGGAATCAGAAGTCACATCCACAGCAATTTTCAGTGGAAACAAATGAGGATGTATAATCTAATACAGACCCTTTCTTGACACCTTAATTATTAATGTACTGTAATTTTTGTTATGTACAGATAATACATTAAGGTTTCCAATGTCACAATGATGTGTGTGCAAAAATTGCATTTCCAGGTCAATCTCAAGTCCCAAAACTTTATGCTTTTCACCATCATATCATAAAAGTATTGATCAAATTACCTTGCATTCTCTGAATAATTTTCAGAGTATTTTCAGCATTCTGCCAAAAAAAAAGCCCTGTAAAAAATAACATGCCAAAAAAAAAAAAAAAGAGAAAATCATCTACCCCATGGTTTATTTTTTGTTTGTTTTAGAAAATAAAGCATTAGTGATGAACATGGAATTGTGAAATCCATACAAACAACGTATACTGGAAAAGACAGCTAAAGCATGTTTGAACTTGTAAAAATTTCAAAATAAAATACTTCTTCCACATGCATTAAAAGTTTCCTTATTTCTCGTTAAATATCTCTTTTTGATTAATAAGATGGAGGAGAGAGAACAGCTAACTCTTTTTTTTTTTGATTTACATAAACTAGAGAGCTGCCACGCTGTATCTGAAAACCTTCATCCACAAACAATAGTTCATAAGACAAGTCAGAAATTGAAGGGCAATTCATATTAAATTTTTTCATTTGAAAAAGAACTACTCTGAACAGAAGAACGTATAAAATGTTTAAATATTTAAAATAACAGCTTGTAATGGATTTTGCCTAAAAGAAAGGTTTGATTTGCCATAAACAAGAAAAAAGCTTTCTCTTATATTTTATAGAAGGTATTACATGTCTTTCAAAATGTAAGTATATTGTTTCTAAAGTATTTATATATCTATATCTATATCTATCTATCTATCTATCTATCTATCTATCTATCTATCTATCTATAAAGTTTTCACTTATAACTATTCAACAAAGCAGCCTTGGTCTAGCCAAAATTTTTCCAAAAAGTAAGGAGATACATCTGGTAAGGAGTGTTTAAGAGAAAGACACAGGCACACAAAAAGGCCTAAATTACAATATTAGTCCACACCCACTAATCCACTCCATCAGACTGCACATGCTGAAGTAAATGAAGCCTCATCTTCAAAAGCAATTTGCAGAATTACTTGCTGATGTTGAAGAACTACTTCAAAAGATTTTTAAGTGTTATGGAATTTTACTGTTTTTTAAACAAGCCACTGTTTAAGCTCAAGAGGAAAGGGGAGGTGTTTGGTTTTTAAACAAAGCTTTTAAGGTTTCATTACTAAACTATCCAGAATGTTTATTTTAAAAGCCTTATGATTACAAATAATAGTGCCTCCCAGTTTTTAACTTACTGGTATTCAAATATTTCAGTTAAAAAACACTCACTTTAGTGCCTTGGGGAGCTGCATCAAGAATAYAGATGAATGACTTTTCAACAACCTATAAAAATGAATTTTACACCCAACACACAGACCACTATTGCTAATTGACTTTCACTAACAATATTTATAATTTCATAACTWAAACTAAATCTAGTGTGGTTCATGGGAACAACTTGCTCCCCAGCATGCCAGCTCAAGCTGACACGGCAGTCTGGGGCAAGGCGAATCTTGCTGCACGGTGCATGTAAAAGGATCCTGAATGCGAGAGAAAGGTGCTAAGCTCTGTGTCACAACAGACTCTTCGAGGCAYGGACTTGATTTCCTACATGACATTAGTTAGAAGACACTGACTTCTTGAAGAAGTCATAATATGTATCAGTACAGACCACACCGCRGATACTTGAAGAGACATAAAACCTAGGGTCACAGACTACAATTTTTACAACCCATATCAATTTTCTCTTCAAAGTGAGGGTTATTCTGGTAGAAGTTCGCAAGAAAACTGCAAACAGATGGTTGTGGCAATACCGTTCAAAGGTGCAATTTTTTCACACTTTAGGAGGTAAAATAAACAAGGGAGAACACATTAATTTATTCAACTGTTAATGCAATACTGGGC